CCTGGTCGTTGGGAAGGTGGTGAGGAGAGATCTAGGCCAAACTTGGAGGGAAGGGACGCTGCCACGGGGCCATGACGAGCCATGTAGGATATTCCTTGGCTATCAAAGGAAGCTGGGAGAGGGGCATCGAGCGCAGTGTTTCCGATTGGGGACATAGGTAGTCTCGGTTCTTCGGGGGGAGAACCATATTTGGAGCCATTATCAGGTACGAAGCCAGCTTCAATCGTAGGGATACCACCGTCGAAGGGAACGGGGGGGTTTTGGGGTTGTTGGTGACCATAGATATCATCCTGGCCTCCCGGGAAAGGGTAAGAAAATCTGTGTCCGTGGCCGTTGACACGTTGTTGAGAGAGCAAAGAGTTTGCGAGGGCGGAGTCTTGGGTGTGGTACTGCTGAGGGTTTACGCGGCCACCGAGGTTGAGATGACCGCCACTCATTCCCATTGGGGGCATCATATTAGGTCTGTTAACGCGGCGTCCATCTGGTAATATATGCGCAAGAGCACACTTTGCTCCGAATTTGCAATTTCCCTACACCCATGTCAGATTTTTTTATTTTTTTAATTTTTTTTTTTATTTCCTTGTATGGTTTCAAAATCATATGCCGTTTGTAGCAGCTGTATTATGCGCATGGATATACCCGTACCTTTGAAAAGTATTTGCAAGGAGCGGAATCGACGGAAGAGTCGGTAGAATGCAGGAACGGGCATGCGGGGCCAGCTTGACAGGCGCCTTGACGGAAGAACTTGCAGGGGACATGTTTGGTGTCTGGAAATATCATATCATCTCATATATTAGCTTGGGAATCTATCTTTGCGATGACACAGACACAAAAGAGAGGCGTGGAAATATTTTTCAAGTCGTACTCTTGCTTGCCGGATTTGGAGGGCTGCGAGCCATGTCGAAGGGCGGGATAGCCGACATGCTGCGAGTATGGCCGTTCTGCACATGCGCCGTGGTACCTGAGGGCACCGGCAGTGGGGTGCGATTGCGTAGATCGTTTGACATCCGGGATTGTGGAGGGTGAGCAGAGTGAGCGGCAGCAGCAACTGCAGCCGCCGCCGCAGCAGCAGCAGCAGCAGCCGCAGGAGGGGGAGGAAGAGGCAGAGATAATGGGAGAGGGACTGCTGGAGGATGAGGATGAGGATGAGGAGGAGAGGGAGTTCCGTTTGCGAGACGATTGTGGAGCTGGGAAAGTTGAGGGGGCTGTGGAGGAGGGTGTTGAGAGTGTTGCCGCATAGCCTGGGATGACAGGATGAGCAGGATGCGAGGATATATGTATGTATGTACATACAGCAGAGTACACTACACACTGTCGACGAAGCAGGGCGAAGAGGGAGGGAGGGTTTGGGCTGCTGTAGAGAAGAAGAGGAGGAGAGGAGGAGAGGAAGAAGGGAAAAAGCGATGGGGATGGCGATGGATGGGAATGGGGTAGTGAGAGATTGGCGAGGGCAGAGAATTTGGGTTGGATTTGGGTTTGAGAGGGACCGTGGGAAGTTGGAGGGGTTATGACTACTATTTAGTTCCCCACGGCTGTCGATTACTCTTTGTTACTATTTATTACTACTATTTATCCCGAGCAGAGGGTATATGTACATGTGTGTATGTGTGTATGTGCAGTTGGATGAGGGTAGATCTGAATGAAGAGTGTGTCCATTTATTATTTTATTAATATGAAAAATTTCAATGCGTGAGAAGAGAGGGGCGTGAACTGATAAATTATCCTGGAAGTTTTTGTTCAGGCGATTGATGTTGAGATGAAGATAAATCTATGATACGGTTGATCATCACTAGTTAAACAATACATCTACGATGTGTGAAGAATGAGTTTATAACTGCATGTACATTATCTAGGGTGTGTTTGATTCTTGAAAGTCACATTCTCTAGAGACTGACTGCTGCTATTCAACTTGATTAACTAACTACGCCTTCGGTGTAGTTACTGCTAATGTATAGGAGTTAAGTAGTCTAGTTTATAACAAACTCTTCCCTCTCTGTACGCAGCCATTTAGTTATAATCCTCTCCTCTCCTCTCTTCATACATTAATTCCTCTTATATTTGTAAACATCCATAGGTAACTACCGCTAGTTACCACGAGTCCTGTCCATCTGATCATTGATCAGACACCCCTATCATCCACCCTGCAGGTCCCCCTTCCCCCCCG